TTGAGACAGAGTCTCACTGTGTTGCCCTCAGTAGAATGCCATGGTGTAACAGCTCACGGCAATCTCCAACTCTTGGGCTTAAGTGATTCTCTTGCCTCAGCCTCCCAAGTAACTGGGACTACGTGTGCCCGCCGCAACACCCGGCGATTTTTTTGTTGTTGCTGTTGTCATTGTTGCTTAGCTGGCCCAGGCCGGGTTTGAACCCACCAGCCTAGGTGCATGTGGCCAGCGCTGTAACCGCTGTGCTACAGGCGCTGAGACACAGTCAGTCTATTTTTAAAATTAAATGTCATGCTTATACAAATATTGAAGATTCAAACTGTAAGGAAGGTATAAATTGAGCAACCAAAGGTACCTGTAAGCACCTCTGTCCTAGGGATGACCACAGTTAAGTTACCACTTTTCAGATATGTTCCCTCAAATCCAAGCATATCATACTTTACAAAGAAAATAAGCTCTTCTTTTTCTCTTCCTCCTTCTTCTATAGGATCTCACCCTGTTGCCCAGGCTGAAGTGCAAGTAGCACAATCACAGCTGACTGCAACCTCAATACCTGGGCTCAAGTGATCTCTGACCTCAGTCTCCAGAGTAGCTGGAACAACAGGTACTTGCCACCACACTCAACTTAATAATTAAAAAAAACCAAAAAAAAAGAAAAAAAACAAAAAAACAAAACAAAACTTTTTTGTTTTGTAGAGACAGGATCTTGCTATGTTACCCAGGCTGGTCTTGAACTCCTGGCCTCAAGTGATCCTCCTGCCTTGGCCTCCCAAAGTGCTAGGATCACAGATGTGAAAGGTGCTGCTTCTTCCTCCTCCTCCTCCTCTTCTTCTCCCTTCTTCTTCTTTTTTTTTTTGAGACAGAGCCCTTTCAAAATTAGTGTATAGCAATATATACTTCATTCTTCCCATAGTACTTCACTGACTAGACAAAACGGATTGAACCAGTCCTCTATTAATGGACACTTAGGTTGTTTCCAGGTTCTTTGCTATTGCAAATTCTGCCTGTACATGATGACCACCTCTATAGACATCTACATGGTAGATACATTCCAAGAGTGGAATTGCTGAATCAAAATGTATATGCATTTGTCATTTGTATAGATGTATACAAATTGCCATCCAAAATGGTTAAAATGCTATATTTCCAATACTAACATATAAATATGCCTATTTACTATCTTTACCCCACACTAAGTATTGTCAGACTTTGACATTTTTGTCAATCTGATAGGTGAAAAATGGCATCTCATGTTTAATTTTATTTATTTTTTCTGAGACAGAGTCTCACTCTGTCACCCTGGGTAGAGTGCAGGGGCATCATCTTAGTTCACAACGTCAAACTCTTAGGCTCAAGTGATCCTCCTGCCTCAGCCTCCCAAGTAGCTGAGACTACGGATGCCAGCCATGACACTTGGGTAGTTTTTCTACTTTTACTACAGAAACCAGCTCCCTTAGGCTGGTTTTGAATTCCTGAGCTCAAGGGATCCACCCATCGTGGCCTTCCAGAATGCTAGGATTTCAGGCATGACCCCCCATTCCTGGCCTCATGTTTAATTTTGAACTAAATGAAAATACAGCTTATCAAAATCTGTGGGATACGACATGATACTGAAGGAGAATAATAAATTTGGATGACTGACAACACCTGACTTTAAGATCTATTATAAAGCTGTAGTCATCAGGATAGTGTGATATGGCAAAAGAATGGAAAGATACATATAGATCAATGGAACCGAATA